GCATTTAATAACATTTACAAGAGTACTTCATGATTGCATAAGGCTTCATGGAAATGCTTTCTTTAACATTATTACATTAATATAAATTACCTACAAGGTAAAATTAGTATTTAATGTTTAATATAAATTACCTACAAGGTGAAATTATTATTTAATATTTAACTCAATGTCCCTTCCTCTGTGAAGGTTTTTCTCTTCCCAGGGAAAAATGATTGCTTTTTTCTCTGTACTTACATGAAATTTTGTACATATTCCTGTTGCAAGGCTTATAATTACCTGTTTACATGTCTGGTTTCATATGAAGCTTCTCTTCCAGGATATAAACCTTGTTTCATTCACCCATATGTCCCAGTTTCTCAAAAAAAAAAAAAAAAACCTGGCATGAAGTAGGTGGTAGTGTATAATATAAAAGTGAATAAATGAGTAGATAATATGAGAGGTGGCAGTAACTGTGGGATGGGGAAAAATAGTTAAAAAGTTAATTTCTATAACTTAGTATTTTCTATTTTTTATTGATGAGATTTAGTGTAGTCTGACTTTCTGAGGAATTATTTTATACTATTTGACTTTTTAAAAGGAGTAAGTAGCATTGGATTACTTATAATTGGCCCATAGATTGTTAAACTACTGTCAAGTTGTATATCATGGCAGAAGAGATCCCTGTTTATGCATCACAAAAAGTAAAGTGTGAAATTTAAATGCTTAATTAAAATGTGCATATTCCCAAGAAGAAAATATGAAAAATTTATTAAAACAGCTTCAGAAGTCACTTCCTCTAAGAAATATACAATATTTTTCTTCATAGCCAAAAAATAACATATTCTAATGAAAACAAAAACTAACATGTTTTTATTCATTAATATTAGAGTCTTTGAAGCATATATGAAAAGTAGCTATCACATAAAATGATTTTAAGCGTATTTTAAACAAATTTCACCTTCAATAAAAAACACTATTTTCCAAAGAGAATGATTTCTCATTTTAACTAAAATTCAGTCAAAAAATTCTACCCATGAAAATAAAATACCTACTTAAAGGCAATGCATATACTCCTCTGAATATTTTTACTGATTTTTTTGTATTCTCTCTCTGTGAGTTTTCTCTTTTCACAACTATTGCTACTATGGCAACAATCAAAAACACATTGCCATGTACTGCGCCCTTGCTCTGAGCCTGACATGGCACCAAGTAAGTGGCAAATTAGATCTCATTTTCCATTCATGTGTAAGACTGGAAGGGATGCAGAAACAGTAGGTGTCATTAAAACTAAGTGTAGCTGAATAATATTCCATTGTATATATGTACCACATCTTCTTTATCCATTTCCATATGCTAACACATATATATGGGGAAAAAAATGGTTATGAAGAACCTAGGGGCAGGACAGGAATAAAGACACAGACGTAGAGAGTGGACTTGAGGACACGGGGAGGGGGAAGGGTAAGCTGGAACGAAGTGAGAGAGTGGCACAGACATACATACACTACCAAATGTAAAACAGCTGGTAAGAAGCAGCTGCATAGCACAGGGAGATCAGCTCGGTGTTTTGTGACCACCTAGAGGAGTGGGATAGGGAGGGTGGGAGGGAGATGCAAGAGGGAGAGGATATGGGGATATATGTATACGTATAGCTGATTCACTTTGTTACACAGCAGCAACAAACACAACAGTGTAAAGCAATTATACTCCAATAAAGACGTTAAAAAAAAAAGTATAAATGAGTAAGAGAGATGCATATTCTGAAAGACCTTAAGTATAAGACTTACAACATAATTTGGATACATGATCCAAAAGTAGCCACTTGCCTGTTGTTATCAGATAAAGGTAGTCTGAGCTGTTGCTTTGCTCAACTCATTTGCATGTTAAAGTGATTTTTACACATATGATGGATGATAGATTAAATTCTCTAGAAAGATAACTGCATTAAAATTCACCTATTTATAATCAAGGAGGATATTTTTTAATAGTTTACTAAGTCAAAGAGGCTTAATCAATGACGGTGATCATTTGGCAGTGGTCAGACAATATATCCACAGTGGAAGATCTCTAGGGAATAAAACATATGACTTTGAGTTCCATTATTATAACATATTAGATCTTTAAATTTTTTTTTGTATTTTAATGTTTTAAAGTTTGATAGAAGTTCTTTATCATGTATGAGATAAGCCCCCATTTAAAGGGAAGATGAAGCAGTAGGAAAAGTTGGAAGAAGCCCCAAAAGTGTAGACAAGAGGAAAACTCTTGTACCTCAAAGCCAGGACTTCTGACGTTTAAGATTAACCTTAGAAAGGTGATGGTTTTGTCTTTGAGCCTCTTCCTGGTCAGTTGTGGTCTCAGTCAAATAGCTGAGGGCTGACTCTGAAGTCAAGCCCAGTTCTCGGAGCACTATGGTGATCTAAGAGGACAGCTTTCTCAAGATGAAAAGGACCGGCAGGAAGCACACACTACAAAGGAGGGTAAAGTTGTGAAAAGAGACACAGTACAAGTGGGAAAGGAGGCCTGTGTCCAGAATGAGGTTGGAAAAGCTTTTCCAAGTCAGTCCATTGCATGCAACCATGAGATAAATGCATAGTGAAAGGGTATTAGACCCAGGGACAAAAACCCCTGGATTCTGGTGGTGGCTTCTCCTATTGAGGATCTGTATTGATGTAGATGAACTTGGGTCAGTCCCTTCTTCTTTCTAATTCTCTCAATAGAACAAATATTTATCAGGCAGCAATTATGCTCAAGGCGGCATCAGGCTATGAGCCAGAGAGTAATGTTTCTCAAGAGATGGAACAGGGACTAAGTGCTTCAGAATCTGCTGGGTCTTGTCTCAGAAATAGTGAATGGGAATCTCTGTAGATGGGTAATTCCCAGGTAATTTTTAGGCACATTGAAGTTGAAAACCAGTTTTCAGCTAGAGAATAAACAGGTGAGGTATAGTTTGTACCTTCAAAAATATTCTGATCTAATTTCTTTTCATTTAAAGAAGTGGCCTTTGTGTATTGTATTAGCATAAAAATGAAAAATTTTAAAGACCACCTCTAATCCCATTATCCTATCAAGCAATATTTACATTTTTATTTTCTCTTCCTGCTGTCTATAAACATAATTCCACATAGCTTCAATATAATTTGCCATTCTTATCTTTTCATACTAAATTTAAATTCTATGATTCATAGTTATACTTTTTAACATTGTACTCACAAGGTTTCATTGAGTTGGTCAATTTTTTAAATTGGTGAAAAATTGGAAATAAACTATTGTAAACATCTTCAAAAAAAAAAAAAAAAAAAAGGCCTTTGTACCAGGTGATTTCTAAAAGCTTTCTGATACTCAGTCTATTTTCTAACAGGGTTAACATTTTACAAGGTCTCTCACTTACAAAGTATAATTTTAATTATGTGACCTGATTCTACTCAGCCAGCCATTTTTGATGCCCATTGAATAAGCCACACAATTTCTTAGTTTCATATTCTTATTTGGGAACAAGTCAAAAAGTAAACAGCAATCATGAATGTTACCCTAATGATTATCAGCAGCACACAGGGAGGCATAGGATCAGCAGTCAATGAACTACGACCTGCTTCTAACTAGTTGCATGACCTTGGGCACACAAGTACACCTCTCTAGGCCTCAGCTTTGTCATTCTAAAATGAGGGATTGCATTACTCAGATGACAAGGTCTCCATGAACTCAAAGACAAAGTTTCTATGGCTTTATCACTTTTAAAATTTGTGAAAAGTAACTGTGAAACACCTCTCATCTGTGAACTCATACCAGGGTCTTTGGAAATCAAAACTCATATACCTGAACATTGCTCTTGGGAAGCTTATAAACTCATGTAATCCATCCACAGGAGTCCCATTGATTTTATGAGTAAATCAGCTCTTGCATTCATTTATTGCTCTCCATTGCTGTAGCAGCTGCCCTAGTTCACACCCTTTGAATTTACTCACTTGGACCAACATAATAGCTTCCTAACTTCTCTCTATTTATAGTCTAGGCTCACTACTGTCCTCCATACTACCGCCAGGGTCATCTTTCTGAGACACAGATATCATGATGTTATTCACCACTTTAAATTCTTCAGTGGTTCTCCTGTGCTTAAAGCCAAAATCCGAACATTTATAAAAAGGTCCTACGGGGCTTCCCTGGTGGCGCAGCGGTTGCGAGTCCGCCTGCCGATGCAGGGCACACGGGTTCGTGCCCCGGTCCGGGAAGATCCCACGTGCCGCGGAGCGGCTGGGCCCGTGAGCCGTGGCCGCTGAGCCTGCGCGTCCGGAGCCTGTGCTCCGCAGCGGGAGAGGCCGCGACAGGGAGAGGCCCGCGTACCGCAAAAAAAAAAAAAAGGTCCTACAGAAGCTCCATACCATTTGCTGCCAGTGTACTCATCCAGTCTCATTTCTGACCACATATCTACTAGGCCTTGCATTTACCAAACAACCCCATATACTTGTTCCATGGTTTTCTCCAAATGTATTACATGCTTTCATGTTTCCCATGTTCTACTTTCTGTCTGGAATTTCTTTCAACTCCTTATCTGCCTAACAAACTTTACAGTAGTTTATAAATATCTCTATTGTAGTAATAACTTTTATTTTATACTTTTACATGTTTCTTCCCTGATATATTTTAATTAAATAAAGCTGGGGCTGTGTTTCACTTATTTTTGTACCTTTACGTCCTGCAATAGTGCCTCATATATAGATGTTCAAGAAATATTTGCAAATATAAATTCAGGTGACTAGAAATATCTTCAGATAACATTTTTACAAAGAAAAACAGGAACAACTGGTATACAAGAATAGCCTTTGAATACACTTTTATATTTAAATGAACTTTTAATATAGATTATGGAAATCGTATAAGAGGTTTATGTTTACACTTTGACATGAGCAGTAACAATGTAAATAAACATTGAAAAAGACATGAGATAATCACTATCATTTTAAACAATAGGCACATTGGAAAGGTCAACAGTCAGGGACAGGGCTTACAAGTGAGGCAGCTCCTACCTGTTAGATCTGCATTGGGCCACCATCCCAAGTCACAAGCTTTGCAGGTGAATTCATCTTGCACATATTCATTCTCTTTGCAGGCAGTGCAAATCCAGCAGCAACTGACTTCTCCTTTCCGTATGACCTATAACATAGCAACATTTCATATGCCTTACAGATCGCTTCTCCAGAAAGACATCTTTTTTTCAGATGAGGACTTGCTTTCAAACTATGATTTTTTTAGAAAAGTAACTTCTCAAAAAATCGTATATGTCGAGGAACTTTAAATACATGGATTGGGATATACCTTATTGTACCAGAGTTCAGATGTGAATTTCAGTTCATTCCATGTTGGATTTGGAAGCTTTTCAATAATAATTTCTTTTATAAAAGGAAATAAATAGCTGAATCGTATCATTATGTATATTAATATGTATTAATAATTCTTAGAAAAGTAAAATTACATTTTTCTTTTTATATTGTTATAAGTTCCTTGATTTGTACTTTCATAATGTCTAATATGCTGTTAATCCCATCCATTAAACAATTATTTCTAATATACTTTGGTTTTCATTGTATAAATTCTATTTTATGTTTTTATATTTCCATGTGTCTTCTTGTGATATGCACATTTTCTTTTAAATCCTTTCATATGTATTTACAGTAGGTATTTTAATTTGACTTCTAATTCCACCATCAATATAATATCTGCGACTGTTTCTATTGCTTGCTTTTCCTTCAGGTAATGTGTCACATTTTCTTGCTTTGTCACATGTCTAAAATTTTTTAACCAGATGCTGGACATAAGGTGTAGAGTGCTGGACTTTTTCCTTGAAGTACTATTGGCCTTTGTTCCAGCAGGCAGCTAAGTCACCTGTGGCTCAGTTTGAGCCTTGTTTTTCATTTTTTAGGGCAAGTCTAGAATAGTCTCTACTCTAGGAATAGTTTAGCCTCATTATAAACTATGACCCTGCTGGGATGTCTACTTAACTCTTTGTGTATTCAGCAAAGCATCTCCACTAGGGCTTGTAGAAACTGGGACAATTCTTGGCCTTGTGTGACCTCTGGGAATCCAGCTCCCCACTAATTGTTCTTTACCTGGACATTCTGAATTCTACCCTGCTCATACAGATTCAGTCAAACACTCATGAAAACTCATATGCCAACCTCTGGGACTCTTTTTCTGCATAGATCCATCCTCTTCCTTCCTCTGCACTACAAATTTTGGCTTCCTTGGCCTTCTTAAACTCTGATTTCTGTCTTCTTAAATTATCAAGATAGCCAAGCTCTGTTTGTGTTCTTTCTCCCTAAACAACAACTAGGAAATTGCCTCCAGACAGAAAGCCAGAGTGATTTTAGGGTTCACCTTGTTTGTCTCCTTTCAATTCCTTGAATTCAAGGTCATGCACTGCTTTCCAATGTCTGAACATAGTTATTTCATATATTGTGTCAAGTTTTCTGGTTGTTTACAGCAGAAGACAAAGTCTGTACTCTGTTACTCCATGGCTAGGAACAGAGGTCCCTCCCTAACACATTCGACATAATCAAATGTTCTCATATGTAAAGTCAGAAATTAAACTGTAAATATTGCCATGCCTTAAAATCATACAAACTCTATCCTTTGTGAAAATAAAATTATCTTCTTGCAAATCAGGTCGAAATTTATACCACTATTTTAGAATTACATGAAAAATATCAAATGACATTATATTTTCAGAAACTGTAAAAGGTTTCCTTTTTCTTCTTTTACTTTCAAATAACTTTAGAAAGTAGACTCAGATTAAGTCTTTTTGAAAAATTCACACCTATCCTCGGAATAAGCATGAGAAATCGATATTCCAAATTATAAATTTTTCTAAGCGCCATGAGAAAAATTGAATAAATGAGTACTGCTTTTTACTTTAATGAGTATAAGAAGTACAAAATAGTGTATATCTCTTCAGTCAGCTTTATCTTTTTCCTAACTATAAAATGAATACTATGAATGAGACAATTTCAAAAGATAATAATGCTAAACAATTTATTTATGCAGAATGACTGGTGAAAGGTAGATCCTATGAGTAACTGGCACATGGAAAGTATTTAAGATTAGCCTTTAAATGACTGAATAAATGAATGAATAAGTGATTGGCTTATACCTCTAATAAATAATGAAAAAGGAACTGCTCATATGGAGTTTTTTTTTTATTACTATTACTTCTTATTCAGCCACCAGATATGTGCACTTTTGCCATACAATGTCTAAAATATGGGATTTGTCTTTTCTATCCCTCAGCCACCCCTCTAGACTCAGAAAGCTGAATTCTGGTCCCTGTCTCCTAGTTATATAACATGCCTGTAATTACTTCTCACTCCAGAGTTACATGCACACAGCTGCCAAGATCATCTTGATGGCCTGTGGGCTCCTCAAGAGAAGGGAATCATGCCATACTTTCATTGTTTTCAGATCATAGTCATCAATAAATGTACCAAGAACACACAGTAGCTGGCCAATGAACGAGTGTTGAGTTGAATCTTTTTTAAAAATGTAATTCGGCCACTCAAGGAATGTCAGTGTCTCCCTTTTCTAATAACTTTGAAATATAAGCTCTTTGGTCAGTGATTCACTTAGTCCCTGGTCCTTGTTTCTGCACCTAAGTTTGACTGTTAATAATCTCTTACATAAGTCCGCCAAACAAGGAAGTCAGCCTCTGTGCCATCCCCTGCTTATATCCTCATTAATGTCCACATAATTGTTTGTTTTGGAGGGAGGTTTCAAGCAGGGCAGATACACCATCTAATTCGCTTTCCATCTGACTTGCTTTCTACAAGGATTATTATGGCTGCTGTTTAGAGAATAGATTTTAAGAAGGACAAAAGAGAGAGTGTGTGTGTTGCTTAATCCATGGCTTTAACATGCAACAATAAAGAAATAAATATATTTTAATAAAAGAAAGGATATTCCTTTCCATTTAGAGTATCATCTTTCCTCCATCAGCCCATCTATGTCACTACTGTCGAGTCCTGACACATGCTCCAGGAAGTATTTCTGGTGCAGTGAGCCCTTTGAAACATTACTTTATTTGGAATTCTCTATAATTAAAATATACTTGGTATTTTATTACCACAAGTTAGTTAGCTTTTGTCCTCTAGTTGTTTCACATGTATATGGTAGATATGTTTCATTCAGATACTTTTTAAAAAATTCTTAAATTATTGTCTCTATGTTTTAATCTCCCCCATATCACAGGTATTGATATTTTAAATTATTTTTATACTAACTGATATTTCTTTTGCATGGAGTATGCACTCAATAACTGAATAATGTATTGTCTCATTTTTGTTACCATAAAACACTTTTTATGACAGCTCTGAGTCATGATAAGAGATTTGATATTTCTCTGAAATTGCGCTTCAAAGACCAAGACTTCCCAAGACACAGGGACTGTTTTGATTCCTTTTACATCCTGTGTACATGGTGCTCTGTTTATTGTTAGTAAGACTAGATGACCTGCTGCTTCACACAAGGTTATGATTCAATTCCATATATACTGTAGGAGTCTTAAAGTATTTATAACATAGGAAATCAAGTGTTAACTTTACGACTACGTTTCTGAAGTAACTTGAAATGGATTTTTTAAATTTAGGCTTTGTTTAGAAAAAGGACAAAAGAAAGAAAACAGCATCGAGAGAATATAATGAAGGAAAAGTAATGATAACTCAAAGGAAACAGAGAAATTTGCTTCAGAAGGGAAATGCCTGGAAGACTAAACAGAATAAAGACACTGGTCCTACCTAATTAGGACTGTAGGAAAATCAGCTGAGGGAGAGAAGGGCTAGTCCTACCCTCCTGTGTCCCCATGGCACCCAGCATGAGTGCTTGGGCAACAATGGACTCTAATTGCTGATACAATTTTTTCCAGCTACACTATGAGTTCCTCAAAGGAAGGGGCCATGTTTAAGTTTCTTTTGCATTCACAGTGCTATCATAGTTATTGGTACATATTAATTTTTCAATAATTACTCAATAATGTATGTGAAAGAAAAGAGGGAAATAATATGGAATATTACATAAACAAAAGAAATGAAAATGAAGAATTCAAAGAGAATAAAAAATAGGAGGAAATTGAAGAGAGCCTTGAAAGAATTATAGAAAAATATCAGTTTAGGAAAATCCCTATGTAGTAATTTATTACAGAGGAAATGTAACAAAAATCATATAGGAATAGAAAATGATCACAAAAATGGACATACATTGAACGAGACCATGTGCAAGGCCCTCTGTACAGAATTACACTAAACCTCACAACCACTCCATGGAGTGAAGTTAATTATTTACATTTGCAGATGAAGAAACAGCTGCAGAGGGGATCAGTAACTTGTGCAAACCTCAGGCACATTATCACCAGTTATTTTCAAGAACTAAGCTCTTCCTTGTGTAAAAACAGCTGTCAGAATGATGGCATGTTATGCTGAGAACCAAAATTATATCTCAGAAGTTGGCAGATATATATTTACTTAACCAACATTTATTTAGTGGCCCAGTGTGCCAGACATGGTGCTATGCATGCAGACAAATAAATGAAAAGACCTGATGATCACTGAGGTTAAGAAGCTCAAAATCTGACATAATGTAATATGTATACTGCTAGAAGGAGGAATGAAATGCTTATGCAGGGCATACGCATTCAATCGTTCATGCATTCATTGATTCACATTATGCATTCACAATCAGTGAATAAAACAGATCATATCCCCATCCTTGAGGAGCACCATCCTAGAAAAGGGCTTTGAGAAAACTACAGCAAGAAAGAGGAATAGGCTTCAGGGCAGGGACCAAGGTGAGGCAAGCCTAGTGCCTAGGGACCAGACTTAAAGAGGCCCTAAAAACCCTCAGCGTTGTGCACATGCCCACCCTGCACTTGCAGGATCTTGATGGGGGGCCACTTTAGGGTCTGTGCCCTAAGTTCTTCACTTGCCTCATCTCAGTCCTAGTCTTGATAGGGAGGCACGTGGAATTGGGGATTGCAATTCTGCATATGGTAGTCAGGTAAGGCTTCACAAAGATATGCCATTTGAGTAAAGACTTGAGAGAGGGAAAGGGAGTAAGTCCTGAATATATCTGGTGGAAGAGAGTTCTAGGCAGTGGGATCAGCTAAAGAAAAG